GTACATATTTGACTTGCTGATGAAATATAATATCATCCTTCAGATGTTCAAATGGAAATCTCTGTTTAAAATAAATAAACACAGTTGCATGTGGGGTTGCTGTGGCATAATACATTTCATTCTAGGTCAGGTCTTGAATATTAATTCTTTGTTTCAGTTGTAATTCACAATCATATTCCCCACCTATGTACAAAAACAGTATGGTTTCCCTCATACATACAGACTGAATTGTATAATTAACCACCTGCTGTAAAAATCACATCACTTAGGATTACATTAAATACTTATCCATTCCACGGTACAATTCAAATCTGTAAGTTGTTGCCGAGTCTTACGAGTTTACAAAGTCATTTCAAGCTACAAAATTTCCACAATCCTGAGACAAGGCAGAAAAGTAGGTCTAAAAAGTGGGTTTAAACTAATTCTTACAGTACGAAACTAAATTTAGGGCGAGGGTCAGCCTCCTTTAATGTGTGATCCCTAACTTCCTCTGTGCTCCCATTATTGCAGCAAGTATATGAAAGCAAAAACCGTTCATATTAACAAAATGGAGCTGCAATACTGACCCTACAAACTTACCATGCTTTACAGCAATGTGACATTTCTTTACAGAAATAAAGAAAAGAATCTAAAGTGCAAGCACAAATACATACAATTTAAAAGCAGTAAGGGGGAAATACTAAAGGATTGTGATTGAACGTGTTATTTTGTGTGTGTGTGTGTGTGTGTGTATACAGTCTGCAGTGTTTGTGCGATTGCGGCCCGTCATGTGGTGGCAGACATCACCTCAAGGCCCGACACACTCACAATTTCAACCTGCACGGCTTAAACATAAAACATAAAAAAAGTCAATGGAGAGAGGGTTCAAACAGGATAAAAAGTGTACATTTGAAAACCATGATTGCTTCGGAAAATGTCCACTGGAGATCAGCGCTTTGAGTAGCTTCTGATTGTGACAAGATTGTCTATACATTCTCTTTTTTAGCATAAAAATTCTATAGATTCAAGGCTATCGGTTTCCATAAGAAATCTGCATTTTGTTTCTAAGCAGTCAACTCAGCGATAATAGTAATAATATAACAACAATAAAACTTTACACTGTGTAGGAGGAATACAGCACAAAACAACTGCAGTATTATACAAAAGAAAAAAAAAAAATGTGGCTCATTTTTTACCATCAATACAATCTGCAGAGGAGAGAAGATCACAGATCTTTGTCATGGCAGTGAAAATAAAAATCATTCATATACGTATATCAAAAATTCACAAAATGTCCTGCATTTGGAATATTCAAAATACATATCAGAACTCTTCAAAAGCATACATCTTGAGAAGGCTTAGGAGATGTGAAATATTGCTTCACTGAAAGCCATAATGTGGATTCATGTACAGTATGGTCATGAATGTGGTGGGAATGTGAAGCTCACCGACATGATGAACTTATAGAATAATAATAAAAAATAAAATAAAAAAAGTTGCAAATCCTTATGCGATATCCATAAACAAAAGATGAAACCACGAATGCACAGATCCCGAGTACATCTGGCTACACACAGATTCTAACCGAGGTATTCCCTTTAACAATTAGTTGTCCAATAAAAACACACGATGTGAAGCACTGTGCATTTTGAGAAGAGCATAATCTAACTTTCATTTTATATTTTTTTAATGTTTTCTTTTTATTTTGTGTGCTGAAAACTTCAAGAAGATGAAAACAAGCCAATTACTTGTTGGCAAATGATTGAAATGAGCATCAAAAAGTTGATTGTATTTTCAGATCTTCAGAAACAAAAAACGAAGAAGGACAAATTACAAAATTTAGGGGAGAATTGTTTAGTTCTTCTTCCCAGTATCAATCAAGATAACTGTCTTAAAATCAATAATTTAAGGGCTGACAAACAGCTCCACTATTTGCCTGATTTGAGAAAAAGAAATTCTTTTTTTGGAAAGTATTCCTTCATTATAATCAAATTCGAAAAAGCATAGTCCCACCCGGCCAGTGATTATTAACACATTAAAATGGTTACAGGCTGCATGTCAGTGTTCTAAGAAGTAATTAAAATCACATTCAGTGACAACTAATTTTGCGCCAATTAGACCACCATTAGCAAAAACTTGAAAACAAGACATAAACCACAGTTGGATATTTTTCAATTCCAGTTCCCTCAAATTAAATTTGAATCTAACACTGAATAAAAACAGCACACAGTTTCTCTCATGCACGTCTGAAACATAGCATGAAGGTCCAATTTACAGCTTACTAAGGGGCCAATGTTAAATTACTACACCGTTTACCGTCCCCACACACTGGAATAGGAAACAGACTGACTGACTGTTGTGAAAAGTAGAAATGATAAAAAAAATTAGCAGTGTAAGGCAGAAAGGGAAGTAGTATGACTTTGCCTTTAGAATACCCAACAAAGCCACCTAACTTAATGTGCTTTCAGTGGCTACACATTGTGAATCCCCCCCCCCCAAATATCGCCATTACACCACTGACTGAAAAGGACAGTACAAACAAGACGGGTGACGTTAAATCACCCAATGCATTTTTGGTCCACGTTGTGTAATTTCAACAATAAAAAAAAAAAAGACACTTGAATTTAATAACATTGGTGAAGTTGTGAATGAGGAATAACTGGGCAGAGAGAAAATAAAGACATGCGCATAACCCAGTGAGCGTCAAAAATGATGACATCATACAAGTTAAATTTTTCATTTTTGTCACTGAAACCCTGAGCTAAATCAAATATATCATTTTATGTGTCTCCCACACACGATAGGCTCGTAGCAATGATGACTGTCAACTCACGAAGACCTGAGTTCACCTCAAATGTGGCTACTGTAGCTCAACACTTCGAGTACTCACACAATTGTCACTGGTACCCTCAGGTCTTCCTTTTTTAAATGAATAATCCACAATACTGCTCAAAATAACATGAGCCCATGCATTCTGCACTTTCAGTTAAAAAAGGCAGCTACCATTAAAGAGAGAAAATAGATAAAAGTTACAAATAAAAAAAAATAATTAGAAAAGGAGAACAGATTTCACTAAAAATTTGACTTCACTGTTCGGGGCTTTTGTTTTTTTCTTGCTTCCCTCATGTTAGAAACATGCACAGTCAGTACTATGTTGGAGGGAAACGAAAATAAAATCAAAGAAACATTTGCCCCAGGAATTTTTGTAAGTGCCTGCCCTTCAAGTATTCAAGCATTGTATCTGGAACAGCCAGTGTTTGGCATTTTGACGATCCTTGCTATGAAAAAACAAGAAAAAAGAAGAAAAATAAAAGAGGGAATTTACAACAAAATAAACTGTTACAAGGCTGAAAATAACCTCTGACGTTTAATGGACACAATACTAATAAAAAAAGGGTAAGGTAAACTTCTTCATTTTTGTAGTTGTGATTACTGAAATATAGTCCCTTACTGTTCAAACAAGTCACTAACTAACCTCTGCCCCTCTGCCCCCCCTTCCTACACAACACCGTCTCACCAGGAGAGGTGTCTCTTTCCCCCACTACATGTTTAAACCTTTTTAGTTGTGTTTCTTGAGGAGTCCATCTATTGTGCCATGGTCGTTGGGGCTGAAGTCGGGGCAGATACCGTTAGCTGTTTTGGTGGTGGCAGTGCCTTGCAGATTCGGGACAGACAGGCTGGGCTTTGTTTGGTGACGGTGGCAGGGACCGCTGTGGAGGCCTGTGTTTTCTGTGTACAGGTAGTCCTCAGCAAAGTCCGGGTGCTGCTCCAAAAAGCTTCTGAACTTGTCTGTAGAAAGACCACAAGAGGGCGCCAGACACAGAGGTATGAAACAAAGCCTGAAAAAATGCCCAGAGAAAGACTGCACTTAAAATTGAAGTGGCCTGGTTTTTTTAATCTAGTGCTCCACATGAGAGGATGAAAAAGGCCACTTCTACTACTCCTATGACCAAGCAAAGATTAAATCAAATATTCTATACAGAAATATTTATTTATTTTATTCGGTGTCTTACCAAATGTGATCTTCCCTGTGTCTTCTTTGTCGATGGCAGTAAACAGACGCGACACGCTGAGGTGAGTCACTCCTAAAGCAGTCTTCAGGATAACTGCCAACTCCATCTCTGTGATGGCACCGTCCTCCTCTGCCTCAAACATCTGGAGAAGATACAATGGGAAGAAATGCTGATGCCATCTCTCTCTCTTTTTTTTTTTTCTAAACATAACACTGACAGGGTTGTCAGATTAAGAGCCGGTTAAACTGTTAACTGAGAGCCCTTTATCTGAAATAATTGGTGGTATTATATATAATGTAAGCCCTAAGGTCAGAGAACTTGCTCAACTTTAAGGATTAGGAGAAGCAATTCAAGTGAAAACATGAAGACGACTCAAACTCGAGCGGTTTGGTTTCTAAGAAGCCACAGCGACAGATCGGTTGCAATGATAACCCATGAAAGCACACTTCATCTGATGTAATGAAATGCATAACATCTGGGCATGAACATGGGGAAAAGGTGTGTGTTAATGTGTCAGTATGCTACACACTAATGATGGAAAGAGCAATTTAATCACTCTGCAGTGCAAAACACAAGACAACCTACAGTAAGTGGCATTTTAATGTTGCAAATGTCATGCTGATCTTGAGCAAGCACAGAAAACTCTATTCTGCCTGGTGGTTTAGAGAAGTGTAAAATCTGAAATAGAACATACCTTGAAGGCCAATTTCATCGTTTCCAGAGTTCTGGCAGGTCTGCATACGACAGATAAGGCTATCACATATTCTCTTATATCCATGCAGTTATCTTCGTGCTGGAAAAAAAAAAAAAAAAACAGGGAAAACAAGACGTTACGAAAGATGAAGACAGAGGATGTGAACAAGACTACTTATTTATTTATTTCCCACAAGGAGCTGCAGCTGATTGTTGTTTAGGTCATGAACACATTACTGCAATAAAACCTTTATTGTTTGTTTGGGTACTATGCTGCAAATGTATCCCAGAATGAAAAGCAAGGTGCTGTGATTAGTCTCAACAAAAAGCATCTTGTATTCAGTCCAGCTTCCAGGCTTGTCAGTGTTTTTATAGAAGCACTTTGTCAACTCACAACTTGCAGTTAATTCAAGTCCTAAACTGAAGCGGAGATTGCTTACTACATACATACTAAACCTTTAGTTATATATTGCAACTATATTACTGTACTGCAGTTCTATATTTGCAGTGGATGCAAGTATGACAATGTGAGAGTCATCGTGAAGAAAGAGACAACGTTACTAAGTAATGGTCACTGAGGAAGACTACTGAGCTATCGTGGTTGTGAGTGAAAAATCTCCATCGTCTTTACCTCATCGAAAAGAGCGAACATGTCTCGCAGCATGTCTGAAACTGGCACATCAAGGAACTGAGCAAAGTCATCCAGGCCCAGCTTCTGTCCCTCCAGCTTCCTGGCTCTGTTCCCGTACTCCTGCAGAACCTTCTCTGTGTTCTTGGGTTTCAGCCTGGGACAGCAAGGGGAAGACACTTTATCTTAATTAATCACTTGGCCATAATGTCAACAAGGATATTTACAAAAGCTACAATCAAATAAAGACAGAAAGATAGAAAAAAGCAAAAAAATGAAAACAATACAGTGAGTACAGCAGTGAGTGATCTTTTCAAGACTGTAACCTGGAGTTGCATTAACTTCTTTGTTAAGCTGCATTATATTGAATTGTTTTCAGTATTTCATCCATCCTATTTACATTCTTTCCATCCCTGTTTTCTACCACCTCCCCCATTTCCTCTCCTCTACACTGTCCACGGTGCTTGTCACTGCCAAGTGTTGGACCAGGGAGGGAGGAGACAGTCATGCACCTCCTCCAATGTACATTGCCAGTTCTTCTTTTTATGTGCCAGAGAGGAGTTTCACCAGGAAACTGTACCGTGTGGAGATTCACACTATCCCCTTCTAGATCCCCACCTGTGCAGGCACCTGACCAACCAGTCACTAGCTCACTGACAAGGACACAATCCCCAACTGCCTTCCCACCCGTGCACATGACCAGTTGCGTTTGTTGGAATGCAAAACCATGCCGAAATGCCACTGCCAGAAACTAAATCCGGGTCCCAGCTGCGTTAGGTGAGTATTTTGCCCCTGTTTCACCTTTTTGCCCCTTCTTTGGCTCTCTTTGGTGGGAGCATTGCATTGGAAGGTTTAAGTGACTCACCCCAGTCTCCTGACGAGCTTGGCATACTCCAGCAGACAGGTGTCGACTGGCAGTCTCAGCTGGCCTTCTGCCATGGCCAGCTGGCAGTCTTCAAATGAATAGTCTGTGATGGGTACCCCTAGGGCTCTGAGGAGAGCACAGAGGAGACAATGACAGGACATCAGTATGTGCAAATCAATACGAAAATTGATTAAGGCTCAGTAGGTAGCAGCCAATAGACTTTTTTGTCCATCTGCAGAACTTAAGTTTCCCATTCTAGGGTTAAAATGGTGAAGAGGAGTATGGGAGTGTATGAGAACATAGGTAGTAACTGTAACCTGAGCACTGCCTGGGAGAGTCTATATGAACTCCATATGAATCAACATTGGATAGTATATAATGTGAATAATAAATCAGGAGTCAGACTCAAAGCAGGATGACAGTAATGAACTGACATATGATTAATACTCAAAAAAAAAAATGTTTATGAAAAGAGTTTGGGAAACCTTGGCTAAATAACAGAATCTGACTTTGTTGATGAAACCGCAAACACCAGTCTTCCCTTGCTTGTTGCTCTATGTAAAAGCGGCATTAAACAATCTATGCAAGAGATGAACTCTCTCAATTACTGTGACAGAAAACAAACGTAAGGTATGTTGCGTTGGGTGGTTTTATGTGAATAACATAAATGAGGTATTAAGTAATAACTCAGTTCTGCTTTTTGTATATTCAGAGGATGAACTGCAACATATCATATGAGCAATAAATTTGAACTCACTTAGCCATGACACGTCTCACATTGATAGCAAAGAGAGCAGGGTTCCTTTTCTCCTCCTCTGATGGTGTGTAGATAGGAAGGAACTGCAGAGAGAGAGGCAAAGATGATTAATTAGGCAAAAGTTAGAGAGATTTTTTCATATATATGTATGCATGGAAATATTAATTAAAGTATGTGTATATGTATTTACAAGTATATATATTACATTTATTGAGGACAACTATTTTTTTCCCTTGCATGAAATTAAGAATACTTAAAACACAGAAGGGGGAACAATTATGAGTCCGTACTGTTGAGATAAAAAGATAAGGATAGGGAGCCTCTTTTTATATTGCACACATGTTTTGGGAAAAACTGGAGTAAGTGCTGTAAATACTGCAGTATGCAGTATGTGTAGAGAACACTTACCTCAATCACAAACTCGTTGTGTAACTGGCAGAGTGTCAGCCACAAGATTTCAAACCTGAATAATAACAGGACATCATCAGTAAATCCCATTTTTTACACTTTAGTTTGAACAGTTTACAGTTGAACAGCTTAATTATTCATTTTATAAGCAAAACTTACAGGTCATAATTTATATTACTTTTCTCTTTATATGCACCATGCTCAATTTAGAGCATCAGAGCAAAGGGTATAAATACGTATGTAAATGTGGTAATACTATCAAACGTACTATGACCCATTAGGAAGGAAATGTCTCTTACACATACTTGATATGAACATGCTTGAGTTTGTGTATATCTTTTGGACCTTTAGTTAGAAAATCATTTTATAATTCTGTTCAGCTGAGCTTGGAAGTGTACTGCATGCAGAGACCCAGCGTAATGATGGAAGCTAAACCAAAACAGGACATAGTATTCTGAGGAAACTACAGAGACTGATAACAAGGACAGTCTTTTTCCTCCAGCCATAACTAATCTGCTTCCAGTCTATTTGAGATCTCATTGTGGAGATTCTGGTTCAGACCACAATGTTCATTTCCAAAATAGTACCCTCCACTTGAGAGGTAGAATGTAATCAATGACCTTTACTATGATACATGATAGTGAGTGTAATTTAAGAACCATTCATTGTGCTCTGGTTACAAACAAATCTAATACATAAAAATAAAAATATTATTATTATTATTATTATTCTTCTTCATGAGAAGAGTGGAGATAGGCACTATCACTATCACACACTAGCCTACAGAAATGTATTCGTAGATTTATTTATAGACTGTATTGTCATAATAATTATCTTCCTGTACAGTGTGGTTGATGACGTGCCCCTGCATGCTGAATGAGTGAATTATTTATTTATAATATCAAGTTTCAATATTTGCATATTTGAGCTTACATAGGGTTTTTTTTTTTAACAGAATGAATTTTACTTTAAAAAATATACAGAATACAAATATGTGTTCAACTGTAACTTAACAGCAAGTACAAAATAAACCTTATACAAAATGAAGAAATTGTGTACTTACGCTCCAGGCCCTTGCCACGTCCATGTGATTGTGTCCTATAAAAAGTACATGAAGTCAAGACATTATTAGAAATACAAAATAATAAAAAACAGTTGTTCTTGCCCTTAATATGAGAACAGGTGTTTAAATGTGTGAGTTATTTTAAATACAAATGTGGTACACATGGGTAAGCACACAGGTCTCCTAAACAGAAACATACTTGTGTTAAAGGAGTAATGTGGAATTCCTGGCCACATGATCCAAAACAATAGGGGGTAGCATTTCACCTCCTCCACCCTTAAAGCCGTGACACTGACTGCTTACAACTGGACATGTGTAATAAACCTTGCAATATCCTCCAACATTGACAGTTAACTTTCCAAACTCTCATACCGGTTTATTTATCCACAGTAACTTGGAACCCACTTACTATCATTACAGCAGTATGAACCCAAAATAAACAGACTTTGCTGTGATTTGATTGCAACAAAAGGATGAAAAGAATGGAAAAATAACTACGTGATGATGGAAATTTGTAAAATGATACTGTCAGGTTGGGAAGCAAGAGTGACGCTAAATCTGCTTTTCAATCTCAAAAGTTTAAAAAAATAAACTCTGGGCTCTACTCCATCTCGTCTGTAAACATCTCATCTCTGACTACAGATGTTTATTCCTCAAGAAAGTCTGCCTTTTTTGTCTCTCTCTAGTGCTCCCACAGCCTCAGTAGCCTGGGGACCCCGACGCTAGCAGCTGTCTGTCGGCAAGCTATCGCCTCTCTTCGTAAAAAAAGGGACTAAAGGCAACAGCTAATAGTTTCTAACTGGTTAGCTTTCTAATTTCAGTAGATACATCACAATACATTGTCCATCCATCCATCCATCCATCAAACATATAAACCATAATAGAAATACAAACTAGATGAAATAAATGTAAAATACAATATAAACATTTAAAAATGTCATAGCTGTTACCTCTTCAGATTCTGTAGATAATGTTTTTAACTTAAAACGAAAACCTGTGTTTGCAAAAACTATTGCAAAAAATGGAGTTACTAAAGAGCATGTAACATAGTAACATTCACTTTAGTAACAATTGTGATTTCTGCAACTGACCTCAAATATTGCGTAACATCTAAGCACTACCTCAGCCAGTAGAAGATGGTACGGGTTTGCTGGATTCATAAGATCCTCAAACAATCCCTTCTCACAGTGTCCTCAGTTGAAGTTGGCTTTCCACAGCCTCACTAACAAGCCTGGGCAATGCATTGGACTTGCCTTCTGAATCATATCACGATTAGCCAGATTCCCAGTCAGGCTATCAGAAAGTTGCTGTGCATGCTTCACTGAATTCTTCTCCTAACCAGACTGAAACAACTTCAACTAAATCAGCCTCTAGGGCCTGCCAGTAGGTGTCTACTGAATGAAGAGTCCATTGTTCTACACTGAATGTAGTGGTGAAGGAAGCTGACAAACTCCTGTAGGCTAGCACAAAGTTGCTTAAACTTGAAACTCAAGCTTCTCAATTAAAGCTTTACCTTTATATAATTATTGCCAAAGGCTATTTGTGAAGTACAAATTAAATAAACAGATGCAAATGATTGATATTCATAAATAAAACAAAATAATACAGTCACTCAGAAATGCTACTGTGGCCACGGGTCCTATATGCCTGTGGCATGTTGTATCTACATAACTACCATACTCGACCTGATTACCAAGCCTTTAAACAGACTACAGACCCACATGATATCTGTGGACCTCTGGAGTGTGAGCAGCCACAGTCTATCAGTGAACAAAGCACCATGCAGACAGATATAGTGTGACTTCTGATGGCACTGATTGTGCTTTTCTGGATTAAATAAATAATAAATATCAAGGCATTTATCTTTGGTTTTAAATTTAGGTTCAGCTCATTTACCAACAGACACTGTTTTAATCCCATCACCCGACAGTAGGGCGCAAAACCTTTTGTACCATTCCCCACATGTAAACTATGAAAAGCCATTCATGGATGGCCCTTATGCAGTCATTGTTGCTGACATTATGGAAGGTGCATCCAAACTGTATGGAAACTTGGTTTTATGTCCAGGTCCTGAAAATGTCGGCATGGACTGATACGGCAGGGGTTCTTAGAATCTCTCAGTGAAATTAGTTTGGCAAATTGTTGATCAACCATTAATCATTATTACCCCTAGCTGCCACCACCAGCTGCCCATATTTAACCAACATCGTGTCTCCCCCCCTCTCTATGACCATTGACTTTTCACTCTGCCAGCAAGTAAGGGCACTAGGTATGCAAAACTACAAAATATGACCACGACACAAAGTGTTCTCACAGTACTGTATGAGATTCTGCTGAGTTTGCAAAATGCTTCTGTATTACTCAGAACATTTTCTCCTTCATGGATACTATATATATCTGCAATATCTTTCTTCCCACCATGTGACCGGCAAGATCTTTACCTACCCACTGAGTGAGACAGATGCCAAGCAGGCTACAGGGCATGCATAATATACATACAGGCACACACACAATAAAGCCCATTCAAATTGATCATAGAACTAAGAACACTAACATTTTACCAATGCATGTCCATATAATTGAATCACCAACCACTGTCACTATTAGGTTTTGATTTTATATTTTCCTTAACATGGATCTCATTTATGTTGATATAGTTGGGTTCCTGCTACATACCCTAATAATTTGTATGATAGGCTACTATCTGCTAAATGAAAGTAAGACCGGACAAAAGAGCATTGTTGGTGGGGATCAGCGTGCAGATGTTGGGTCACTGACTAGTATCTATGAAAACCATTGTTATAACAATTATTTTTGTAATTTGTCACAAAGTTAACTTGTAAATAAGGAGACAGGTGTTGAGTCTCTCCCACTCCATCTACCACCTGTTTGAATACAAAGTTTCAATACCAAACAATTATATAATTGCTAACATTAAGCTGTGCTTTAAGCAATCTTACCAGTTTATTAGGGTAACGAATCACCACAGGCTGCACTGGTACAGCTGGAATGAAGGCCCCTGCAAGAGTGAACAAGACATAAAAGATGAATTTCAAATTTGACACATCTGCATAAACCATACATTGGTAAGCAAAAGCACACAAATTGGAATATGAATTGCCCATTTGATAAAGTGCATCCGATAATTACATTTTACTGTCAGCCAAAAACATTGTAACAAATTCAGAAATATAAATGCACTTATTTGCATAAATCTGCCAAATTAAGTCCATCAGCAAGAGATACAGCAAATTATGCAACCCTATTATTACCCATTTATCGTTTGTATATCAGAGGTGTTTATCTTTCAGCATCAGGTTAAACTTAGATTGAAACATTCATGTCATAATTAAAACCTTAGGAATGCCAACAAGGATTTTAGCTGTTATTTCTCAACAATTAAAATCAAACAACATACTTAAGGCTAAAGCGGGCATTATTTTAATGTGTATTTTTATTTAAATAATAAGTCATTATGCCCACCAGGTTGAGTATGAAATATCAGTGCATGCAATGAGTAAACAGCTGGCAGCGTGACTCCAGAGGAGGGAAAAGAGAGGAAAGCTAAATAAGAGAAAAAACGATGATGGAAAAGCTTTACCTGGCTTAAAGGTGATTAGGCATGATCTATTGGTGCATGTTCCCTCTGGAAAAATCATGATCTGTAGGAAAGTAGGAATGATTCACATATAAAAAAAAATTTTAAAAAGCATTTTAAGAACGTGTCATTTATGTATTGTGCGCTTGCATTATGTTGCAAGTTGTTGTAAGTCAGATGCACACTTAGTTAACAATGTTTTCTGCAACACACTAGTAAAATGTCCATTTGTCTGTAGCTTTTTCCATTTCAGGGATGTCCATACATCACTCATGCTATCAGAGAAACATGGTTACGGTTGTAACCTTATAGGTCTTTTGTGCAGATAAAATGTTTGCATTTGATTTTAAATTGGCTTGGTTAAATAAAAACTAGTCAGTGTATCAAAGTTTTAAAACGTTCAAGATGGTAATATTGTTGTCCTTTTGTTCAGCAGAAAGTCGTACAAACATTCAAATAAAGTGTATTAATATTGTAATCAGATGCTGTTGTGTGTACATGTGCCCACAAACACATGCAAGTTATACATGTTTTTTTTGTAGGGTTGCACAAAAATCTCCATTCCTTTACCTGAGGCCATTCCCCTCCAGAGTGGGCTCTGCGTTTGATCTCCTCCACAGTTTTCTTTCTGGAGTCCTGGTCTGACCGTGATACAAACACTGGTCTGATGTACTTAATCAAAGCTAGAAGCAAAAGCAGGGAAAGAGTAGAGAAAATACAAATAAATACGGAGACTTTTTTTCCTTTCTTTTGACAGCCAAGCAGCTAAAACGTCTCTGCATGATCTTTATCTACTGGTACGGGTACTCTGACTAAGACCTTTTCCCTTGGTTCCCTCAGGCTGGTTATAGAGACATCTTATTTGCCTCAAACAATAAATATTTTCAATGAACATTATGATCTGAATTTTAAAGCAATTCATTCAGTAGCATAAACACATTACTGTGCTGCCTAAGAAAAGTTGGCCACGCTCTAATGGTGTCCTTAAACGAAGCACTTAAATCGTGTTCACTCCACAACAGCGCTGCACAGTGCTGAAGAAGTAGAAAGTAGAAGTACATGTGTTAAAAAGCGTCAACATTGTCTTATTTAGATGATGTATGTTCTGTTTTTAACACATGGTCATGTGTTCCTCACATAAGTTAGATGAGTCTCACATAATGATTACAAATGCAAGATTGTAATTACAGGCTAGGAATAAGGTAGTTCCAGCTGCAACGCTGACAATCCGGTCAAGGTTTCAGAGGCCAGTGGGGTGATTAGGCCAGAATGGGCTCATCTGAAGCTGCTGGCTAAGCTGATTATGATTAACTATTAAGAATTTAAAACTGAAATCCATAAATTTATACATACAGTCGCCCTCTAATGCAAAAATTGTTGACCATCAATAGATTAAATCCACATAGATTGCTATTAGTTAAATGTGCTTATGTAAACTCAGCTGTACTGTGGGGCTAGATGATATCTCAATGTAATTTCTTTTTTGTACATTTTTGTATTTTTCTGAAATAGACAAGAGACAATTTTTACAACAAAACACAGCTGCAACAACCTGATTTCTAAGTCAGACTGTTTGAAATAACCATGTACCCATAATAGTCCACTCACCACTACACTATAATACAACTTTATTTTTTCCTCTAGAGCAATGTGACAACCTGTTAAAGGTTTTGTCACTGGAGTAACACAATCTGTTAATTTCACCTCCCATAGCATAGACACTTGATTGTGTAAGAACATAAACACCTTATTAGGGATCAGACAAGCAGAGTAATGCAATGGACAAAAAGTTAGCACATTGTGAAAAGAGAACTAAATGACATTGCAACAATATGCAAGGCATGGATTGTTGATGTCTCTTGGATCTGAGACCTGTTAAGCATAGCTGAACTACAAAGGCAAAAATGGCAAGGAAATGAAACCTGTGATCAGACAAAGGCTTAGGTTTGCAGGGGTTTTATAGATACTGGAAGCATTTTCTTCTACATCCCATCTTTATCAATACAATCTAAAATTAAAAAGAGCAGTGTTCCTGGTAGCCCTGAGACTGTCAGAAAGAAAGAGTCACAACAAGTTAAGGAAAGTGATGATAAAATAAGATGAAGAAAGACAAGAGTGAGTCCATGAAAAGAAGAAATTGATTCTAACTGTGAGCTGTCTGCCGACAGGAAGGGATTAGGGCTCTAGCTAGTACCCTGAGAGACACTCTACACACGTCACTGTGGCTGATCAGCTCTTAATGCTTATTCTGGATTCCACTTGCTTGGCCAGACATTGGTGCCTGGTTCCTGCAAGGCCAACAGGACAACTCAAACTAAAGTTGGAACCGATATTAGTGGATAACCTTTTAACATTTTCAGGACAGCTCAGTGTACACGGTCCGGGCACACCAAAAATAAACTGTAACAAAAGTGGTATCCAGTGTTTATGCTCCTTTGCTTGCTTCAAAACATCATCTGAGCTGACTGCATGTTGCTGACAATAATGACAATATGCAAGTGTGTCCTACAAGTACAGCTAGAGTAAATGGAAAGTTTAACTCAGCCTGGAGGTAACAAAGAGGCTAATTACTGACTTAATAGGCAGAGCAGGAGGAGGAGAGAGTAGGGCTAAAATAACTCATCACAGCCTTTTACTGTATATCCTGCTGCCAAGCACATAAGAACAAATACCTAAACTGGCAACAAGAAAGGTAACTGAACTTGTAAGCTAGTTAATAGGATCTGATGTTACACTGGTGTGTGTACTGACTGCAACTGAGCAAGGCCTACTTGGCCTTTGCACATGGCCTTAGGTGGTGCATAGACAATAGCTCCAGTTAGCTATCTTGGTTCTGCTGCTTGGTGGGATCCATCACTGGCAGTGGTAATAACACAACAACCAAAAAACTAAATACCATCTTCTCTGACATGAATAAATAGATTAGTAGGAACTAAGTGAGAGATGCAGGTTAAAACAGGTTCAGGCAAGATTTCAGTCTCCATGCTCTCCACCTTAGTGACATAATAAAACTATTTTTTTTCTGGTTCAGGTTCAGAATTGAAGCAGTATTTTAAGAATGCTGTGAGTTACTATTAATTATTTTCCTGTATCAGTCTCAGTGTGATCATTTATCTGGAGAGGAACATTAGCAATGGGTGGTTTTTTGACTTTAAAAGTGTCATCAGGACTATATCACAACATTGCAAAACTGAAGATAAAAGAATCTAAACGTTTCACAGAATTAACTTGCTGAGTCAGAGCTGACAAATCAAAAGGTCTTAGAAAATAACTTCTGCTTCCACTACAGCAAGGAGTGAGTATTTTTGTGTGTGTGTGTGTGTGTGTGTGTGTGTGTGTATACACATTTCCTTGTCTGCTACTGCTGAAGAAATTAGCCGTATTTGGCTTCAACTCGAGTAAAAGAATTCTGCAAAGTAGATTGGGCAATCCCCTTTACTGATACAGCAGCAAATTCAGAGGAACTGTTGTGACCTGCCCTTTACAAAGTGGCTTTGCCTGCCTCAGAGCACATCATAACACAAGGTGCTTACTGTATATACTTAACCTTCCCTGGAGAAGCCTGGGTAAAAACTGAGTCTATGCATCGACATTCTGTACTTTGGTCAAATAGATTCTTGCTGTCAGATGCTGTCATGATGAATCAAGACCACTTTTTTTTTTAGACTGGAGTCTTTTAGGCTTTAAGTATTCTCTCCCTCAAAATATAGGTCATAGTCATAGAGGTAACAATGACAGCAATATATCATTGTATGTGTTACTTACTGCCCCAGAGAGGTATATCCTTGCTCTCTGCCTTCATGACAATTGAAGCCATTGTCATCGTGACTGGGATGGCATCAAAGTACGAAGAGTGGGGTGCCAGGGTGAGGATGGGTGCTTCTGCAGGCAATGCCCTTCGCCCTTTCACAGTCATCCAATGGAAACCTCCCGCAAACCACATGACCCGCATGATGATCTTCAGAATTATGTCCACCAATCTGGAAACAATAACATGCATTAGTGAGGGGTGCTTTTCATTTAAACTGTGGATGGGGATGAAATGTCCTACATTGGATAATATGATGGATGCACAGGTGCACATGTGGGATTGCTAACCTCACAGTGTGAACTGAAAAAAACCTTGAATTTGACTAAATATTGTTGAGTGGTTTGCATGCTCAAGCCCAACAGGACACAATGTTATCTGGTATCCTAAACTATTAATACTCATATCCATATATTGGTTGTTGGTTGCTAACCACTTGTGTTTTTGTTTTTTTCTTGATTTCTTCTCTCACCAACTTACCCACACATTTAAATTACAAGCATCATCTATGCTCCCACGTCTCCTATAAAAATTATTATTCACATGCATGTTCATTAACCTTTCAGGTGGTATTTTAAGTGTTCAAGAACAGGAGACCTGTAGCTGCTGTGGGAGTTTCTTTGACTATTACACAATCAGGAAGTACGGAAAACAAGACTGAGACAGGGGACGCAAAAACTGAATTATCAAAGCCTAAGAATGACTCAATAAAATGAGATATCTAACACCACATTGTGTTTACTTTTTTCCCTAAAACTGAGAAACTGATTGTTAATGATGATCTAATTTTTGAGCTATGCGATTCTCTATTCATACTGAAAGCATTATTGTTTTTTATGGCTATCTGCCCATAGCATTTTATCATTGTCAGTGTCGAGTACATTACACTACATTACATTACATTAATTAAGAATTATAATTCAGAAACACACACATATATATGCAAAGCAAAGCACCCACCTCCTCCAGAGGCACTGGGGTTCAACGGTGGTCTCTGAGCACCCTACTGAGGCCAAGAAGGCAAAAGGCCAAGCCAGCAGCATCATGAATGCAGCTATGAGTAGACGGATGGGGAACAGTGTGAATGTCATTATGGCAATCTGTAAGAGATTAAGGAAAAGAGAAAGGGAAAAGGGTTAAAAAAACAAATCCAACAACACACATTTTTTCATCAAGAGCATAGAGAACAAGAACGTAGTCGATCCTATCTATAAAAAGACACATTAAAGGAAGCCACATCAGAAACAAAGTACACAGTGCATGCAGTTTACAGTCCGACATGTAATAAAGCTAAGAGGGGCTTTTTCCCTTATGGACCCGTCCTACGCAGCCCAGAGGACAGCAGGCCTTTAGCATGTCTCTGATCACAGTGGTTAGCTGCAGCTCGGCAACACCAAACACCAGAGATCCTACAGGAAATGTTATGTGTACGAGACAATAGCCACATACATACATAAACGTTATCATATCAACGTTACATATAGCATATATTCTTCATTCTTGAAGGCTCTGATAAAACCTGGCACTTCATTGTTTGGGGCCAATGGTGATGGTTTACAGATTGTTATGACTCCCTGATAGCAGCGCTTATCTTCTGTCAATATTTGTCTTGATAGCAACCACTACTGGGGCGCATGAGGTCTATCTTATCCAGAGAGAGTTTTAATCTGACAGTGTAGTCAATTTAAATCAATCAATTTAAAGCTTGCTTGTTAAACTACTGATAAACAATAAGCAGCAGAACCTTTTGGAGACTAGTTGGACAGTACTTAGTCTTACAGGAACAACTGTTACACATGTTCTTCTTTTCCAAAAACAGATACACTGAGAATTAACCATGTCTACACTATGATGGTATAATCTACATTTAGAGATGTCTTTTGTTGGGTTTAGGGTGGGGCGGTTTCAGAATGACATTACTAATCTTACAACTGTTACTGCAGTGGCACACCACCCCACTTTTTGTCCAATTTCATAGTCCTCCTAACTGGTTACTTTCCCAAGATCCTCTTAAGATACATGAATTAATTATACACATCCACCACACATAGTTCTCATTTTATACAAATATCAAGTATACAGCTTTGCACAAGAAAGAACAAACAACTGTGTACTAAGTACCAGTACTTTTTTTCTATAATAAAACAGGCCTTGCTGGGAATGCTTTAGATCCACTGTATAATGCATTTGTTAAAAGATTTATTCAGACTCAAAGCATGAGAATGCATGAATGTCACTTAGAATTAAAATAAAGGCAATGCTACAAAAGCAGAGGGGTTATTTAGGAGTTAGAGTGAACTCAGGTACTACTAAATTCATGCCATAAGGCTTGTCACGTTCTTAAAAATAAACGAGAAAGCAAAATAACCACACACACACACACAGCAGCACACCACACACACAGGGCACACAGACCACACAGCACGTGATCACAGGCGATACGTCCAGAAAAGGGGATTTGAGCCCGATTATATTCATAATAGGTTCGAGTACACACTGTAGCTGCCAAGGAAAAATAAACTTGGGCTTCTTGATATCAAAATCACAGGCTAGCTAATCAAGGTGTAGTCATTTGTAGTGGAAACCAACAATTTCAGTAAATTGTGAACCAGATGTTACCGGTCTGTTATTATCGCCACACTGATGATGAAGACCCTGCAACCACTCTGCATTTGCTAACAATGGTTAGGAGAGTGGGTCCTGTGTGTGAATGCAGGCCGTTTCAATGGCAGTTTCACACTGACCTCAAAGCCGCCTACATGTGTATTCTTTTTTTTCTGAATCAAACCAAGGCTTCTTAAGCTATTGCTTTTCAAGGCCTGTGGCCCATCATGTAGCTGCTAGCCAATTATCGTACCTTCTTTCCATCTATGAACAAACACGCAACCATGGTCATAAACCAGGCTATCAGTCTGATTTTATTGACTTTCCTTGACTCAATCCACACTGTAAAGGAAGCTGTGCCAAATAAAATAAAAATCTGACAGAGAGCTTAAACTGTAACGTTTGTAGTGCTAGTTAAGATCTGTGTACAAGCTTCCTGTTTTCAAAATGTACATCTTTCACTCTTACCAGGCTGAACAATTTCCTCATTTGACTGTGTTTAAGGTCAGAGAGAGACTGCAGCAGTGTTCAGTTTCTCAAGCTCATTGGTACGCTTGTTATGAGTAGCTACTAGGCATATAAAACAGAATGGATATTTCAATAATTAATTAGTGGATAGAATGATTATATTTTGTGGGCTTGCAAGAGTTAAGATAAAAAAAAAAAAAGGTGTACATCCACGAGTTTAAAAGGCTTACAAGATCATACAGGAAACCAAAAAAGGTGAGTTTATAGTAGAGACCTTTAAGGCTTTACTTTAACCACACACTCAGGTCTCAATGGCAAGCAATACTGCGAGTCAGTTATTGACACAATAACAGGGATTATTGAATCTTTTCCATCCTGGGCATTAAATCTGGCAGACTGCACCTTAGAATTCTGTCTGATAAATATGTATGTCTACTCTTGTGAGGAACACATCAGTTGCCCACTTTCGCTGCCAATCCACAGAAATACTGATCTATGGAGTGTGGGAATAAGCTATTGACTCACTGCTGCTTTGCCAGGATCAAAACAGATTTAGGTCTTTGTGGGGTTCCCCAATAAATCACACAAGGAATGTAAATTAGGCTTGTCAAAGCTATACTGGGAATTAAATTAACTTTAACATTACCAGCTTGCCCTCTGACACCTTACCAACGTTTAGGTTTTAAAACTAGATTAGGACTGGAATGTCTGATGATACACTTACATCAGTAACAGAAACACAGCGAGATTTTCTCACATTATGTCTACGCCAATCAACTCTGTTAATCAATTAATTAGCTCACCAAGGTGAAAAACTGCAAGAACATCTTTATATGGATTGAAAGGTCAGGCTACTGAATTACAGTATGGCTTACTAATTAGTATCTGCAAGTATCCACGGTGGCTCCAAGATTTACAGACAACCCCCGATGTCACAGAAACAACTAAAAGTCACATGTTAGCAAAGAAGTGAAAGGTCTCCACTTCCTCTCAGTGTTATGGTCTACTGCAGAGGCTCCTGCACTGTGAACAACAATGCCAATTTGGCATGTTACAAATAGGATTGTCTTTAATTCAGCAACAGCCGATTAGTTTTCAGGCCTTTAGTCTACACTTGCAGGCAGTACCGTAGCCTAACACCAAGAATACTCTTGTGGCATGCATTAATCCCACAAACTGTATCTGTGCCTGTAACAATGTGTTACCCTTCTCAGTGGGCACTGTGAAGGGAAATAAAAATATAGCTCAAAATTATTTTCTTATGAAAAGATATTATTTGGAGACAACTTTATCCGTCTTTGGCAAACCACTGCAACAACAAAAACAACACAACACAACAATAACACCCTAAAACCTATTCATAGGTTTCATTACAGTAACTGTAACTAGTCACGAGAACCAATACTTTGGTACCAAGTCAATACCAAAGGTTATTTCTACAGCACCGCAGGTACCAAGGATGCAGTTCTGCCGGCGCAGTATCTACACCTACAAATACTGTAGTCGGCCGTTAAATGCCACAGGAAGAAGAACGTGCTGTGGGAGGGGCTGAGCTGCTGGTCACAGGTGGGACAGAAAGCCATAGAGAGGCTCACACTCGCCACACCACTGCAAGTGCAACAAAAAGCAAATCAAATAATTTATGAATTAATCGACAAGATCGAAAAAGATTACACACAGAGTTTGTTAGGCTATTCCATAGCCTACTTTATTTATTCTTTATTTAGTATAAAATATGTCTGCCAGGTAAACCAACTGGTAGATTTTGCACATTCCTGCACAGCTTTTCGTTTTGCTCTAGTAGTCTCCAGAGGTTCGGATGAGACTGCAGCCTGCTGTTGCTGTGGATGCAAAAGACCAGCGCAACATGCTGGAAGCAGTTCTTCTCACAACTAGGCAACTCAACTCCATCACTTCAGGACCTACTCTTGGGTCGGCATTTAGTGTTTGCAAGAAACAAGTTTTAAGCACATATCCTCTCTGACTGCTTTAATGTACAGTTACAACACATGTATGCTTACAAAAATGGAATGGCTGTTGGCAAGGACATGACAATGAAATACCACTGTAGGGAAACGTGGGGGAGTCGTGTGTAATATTTGGCCATTATATTTGAAACAGCTGTCTACATTTTAATGTGCATATATATTCACAAAGTGTGGCGAACAAGCTTTTAAAGCAATAGATAGTAATAGGTCTAAATGAATAAGCTAAGCTTAACGCTCCATTAATAATGTCCCCGACTTTATTATGTTAGCCCTTTAGGAGAAAGCCTCAAACCTACACATTCCCTTGGTTTTGGTCCACGTGACAGTCTACTTTGTTTCCCCTCAGTCTCTGTCAAATGGGCCGGGAGGAAAGACATTTCTGTGATCCTCCCTAGGTCACTATTCTTATTTGTAACAAAATACTTAAACCCACTATGCCAGAGCAGCACCATTCATAAAAATGAGGCCCTCCCATTCGACTTAACTCTGATAGCTGATAGCTCTGTCCCAATTCCACACCAATAATACTTTACAGTATACCACATGTACTAATCTTTATGGTAGCCGTGTTGGTGGTCAATACATGAAAAAATTTATGTGCCGTACTGTTTTGTACTTTTTGTAATAGAAAAAAATACAAGATACACGCTGCTGGAAAAGGGTCAAAAGAAAAATATCTGGCTATATATATTTATATATGTTTGTGTTATTTTATAAATGTGTATTTCATTGAACACACTCACTTCTGTAACTATTTAAGCTATTCAGAGAGATCATATGAGGTGAACTACAAAGGCCCCGCATCTGTCTCCAAATTTATAAGCAGCCCTAGTTTGAGAGAACGAGACAACGCAGTGCCTACACATACACATGATGAGTGGAGGTTACTTGCATCTGTGCAGAATGCCACATGTTCCAATATTTTTCATCATACCTGCAATATCAATCAGATAAAGACACATTTCAAAGGACTGCCTTGTAATGTCCCTGCAGGCTGCATCCCCAATGATACATTTCCTTAGTGTTTGGGCAATGAAGCTCAAGTATATTTAACCAGTGGCTAGAAGTAGCCTGCAAGTTAACACCTTTAGCAGTGAAGCCTGGAAGCTCTAAATCTGATTATCAACAGCAATGAGGGAGAGCTGGGCTGCATATCTGTTCTGTGCTGCAAAATATATTGTCATATTGAATCAATCCACTCATTTATTTTAAACGAGATTGGCAAACACCTGGTAACTTAAACAGCAACAGGAAGGAAGGAGGGAGGGGGATCTAAGTTATAGACAGGGGGGGGAAATGAACATGACTGTCAGTTCTCCATCACATTCCCCACCCTCCACATCCACACGTGTTGGTTGCTGGTGGAGTGGGACGCACCGCGGTAAGCAACAAAGCGTGAAGAAAATGCAAGGGAAGCTAGCAAACAGCGCCCTGTTCAATAAATGCCACATTCAACTGCTCCCGCAAAAACGTGACATTTTGACAAAAGCTACCCGACAACAACGTTTCTAATGGCTGTGATAACAGTTAAAGAGCAACAAGCTAGGCCCACCCTGAACAGGCGGCCATGCTCCAATAGCTGTATTTCATTTTAGTGGCTTGTTTAGCAGATTCCTGGGTGAGAAGGGTTGGTTTTCACGTTTTATATATTAAACGTATGAAATGCGTGCAGTTGCTACAGTTTAACAACCATTTAAAATAAAAAATAAAAAAAAGACTCTCAGCCCTTCACAGCAGCATTAAAAGGAAGGCAGCAAGCCAACCAGGACCGAGGAAGAAAGCAACATGTATGTAGCTAACGTTACTGTTAGCCTGATAGCTAACCCTAGCTCAGCTGACTAACGTTACATGCAATGAGGACAAAACTGCCAAGTTAAATGATGGTGGGTGACAGCGTCTCCAATGTGTCGCACTACGGTCTCAATGCTCTCCTTAACTACCAAACAGCGCGTTCACGAGTGTCTGTAAGAGTAAATCATTCGCATACAAACATTAATTTACCTTTGCCTTTTCCAGAGGGGTGAATTTCAAGACGTGCACAAAAGGGTTTCTGAACGGAGGAGCTTGGTCCATCTTCTTTCCATCTCCTTCCACCGCACATTGCCTGTTACTCGGCAACCTCATTCTTACGAGGAGGGACGTTAGTCGAGGCTGCAGCTATGTTCTTAATATTCAAAACAGAAAAACTGGTTTCTGCCTGAAAGGAAGACTCCTCGCGAAAAACGCAGTCCCCCTTATCTGTCTTGCACGGTGGCTAATTGAGGTGGCAGTGCAGGGTTATTACTGTTATCTTTCTTTCCCGGACAGCATGGAGGGATAATGGTTAGCTCAAGGATTAGCTGGGGATATTTGAAGTCGCCGATATCTTTCTGGCTACAGTGCGCAGGACGACTACCTCCACACCGTGTTTCCCCCCCAACCAGACCGCTGCTAGCTCTGGATGCTAACAGAGCCACGATTCCTCTGCTGAGGCAGGGCGCATGCGCAGGGCACATCCTTCGTTTCCACACCAGTGTTTAGCACGATGTGATGCTGCCTTCATAACCCTCCAAAGCATCGTAATTTCTAAAACAGCACAGATTTGCAGTGTTTGGTCTTCTGTGAGCCGAGGGCAGCAACTCCTGTACAAAATAGGCTTACGTAAACCTATACAATATCCTTACTGTCAAATATTTTGAAACTTATGTGAGTTTTTTTTTTTTTTTAATAAATAAAAATGTCTTAGTGGTGTAACCATTAACTGGACTAGGAATTATTGCAGTGCTGTGTTGTGTTATAGAGAAAAGATGTCCCACCCATAGTCTGACAGGACACTACAAATACATACATTATAAATAAATGAATAAAATAATAATAACAAAAATCTACTTATGGTTGCTGATTGTTGTCATGTTTACCATTACTTGCACACGCTGAATTGTACACAGTTTAAATGGAAAGGGAGTGAAAGGGTTAATACAGGTAAATATACATGAATACAATTTGTATTCCCAACATATACTTGGAATTTTTTGATTCTCTGTTTGAATTTCCCCACATCGTTGAGCATACTTATGAGGGACACTCAGCTCAGGTCATTAAGGGCCCAATTCCTCCTTCAGAAATTGAAAACAGGAACTAACCATTGCTACAACTTAAGTGTGTGTATGCGCAAAAGCACAGTAAATACTGGCATCTATATTAAGAGACACACAGCTGTAGATACAGTTACACCTCACCACCTCTTTGTGCAACCAGCTAAAAATGGTGTGGGTTGGAACTATGTTTAATTATCTCATTCCATCTCTGGATAAGATCTAGTTATCAATTGACCAATGTGTCTGATCTATCTATCTCTAGCTATCTAAACACTCTGGTGACTAAGGCTGCTAATGAGGGGGCAGCATCACCAGCTTTGCTTCGAACAAAAGGAAAGGTTATACCTATTATTAGCAGATTAGAATTGGTGTTCAGCTCTTCATGTAGCAGAAGAGTGGGAGTAATAAAAGTTGGTGTTTATTATTGGACGGCTCAGTGAAAATGTACTATAAAGTGGATTGTATGGTTCATAAGAGCTGTACCTGCCCTTAGTGTGTGTGTGCGTGCAGGCGCACATGTATGTGTACACATAAGTAATCGAGTGGGTGTAATGCTCTGAGTGCAGTCAATGGTTCTGAAAAATGACTCACAACAGCCAGATATGACATTACATCATAAATACTATATTTATAGATTGTATATATTTGTAGATGGTTTAAATGTCATCATTGCATGTGGGAAACTATAAATTGGATTCTGCAAGTGAACAGCCTATATGATTTTAGTCACCAATTGTAATATATATATATATATATATATATAAGGATATCAGTAGTTCCCAAAGTACAAATGTTTTGCAAATTATTTTGAATAAATACAAATGCACTTTAATTGAATTGATGTAGGGATTTTTTTTTTTAATTGCTAATTGAAACCCATAACAATATAAAAAATAAATGTCCAAATGTGAGGGCATTTGACTTTGACCCGTAGCAGTTTCGCGGCAAAATACAATACTGAACTGGATTATCCCCAAAATGTGTATTGCAAACTATGGTTTTGATATTATATAATATTAATTAATCAGTATACTACATATATAATAATAGTGCATATAAGGCATTTGACAATGTTGTAGTCTTTCAGAGGTATTCTGGCATATTACATTTAGTATTGTGCTTTGTTTCACGTTAATGGCTCTTCATAACTGATTGTATGCCTCCCTCTAGTGGTGAAAATCCCACAGTACACTGTGTTTCAGAAAAAATAAATACTGAAACTTTGTACCCACTCAATCGTAGCCTACACACCACAGCACACACACAACACACACACACAACACACACAAAACACAGGCACATTTAACAGCTCGTGGGCCATATAATCCATTCAGAGTACTTTTCACCCACACCTTACTACATGAAGAGTTGCACACCAATTTAGTCAACAAATAATAGGTATAACCTTTCCTTTTTGTTAATAAAATCTATCTATGGCCTTTTCAAAGGATAAGAATAATGACTACTGAGACACAATTTTATTATGCTGATGATCAAATAATGAATTTTTGGAATGCAATGGAGAAGACTTGCATATGCCTTGTGACCCCTTTTTCATAATTATCTGTCAATCATAACCTTCTGCTATGTTTAATTCCTTTTACACCATGCCAAGTTTAATTCTTAGTCACTTGTGAGGGGCGAATGTGTAAGAGTGAAGCAAGTTTTGCAGGAAGTGTAAATGTATGACTGTAATAGGGTGTTGAATAAAATGTTCTGTGTTCGATGCAGTGTCATTAAAAACTCATGGGACTATGATACCAGACATTTATTTCAGAGTAAAGTTGCCAATAGGTCAATTTTGAATGGACCACATATCGGGTTATCCACAAAGAAGCATCTCTTTGATATCACTATTATTATATATCATTTTGCTATATGTATTTTTCCACTGTCTGAGTATATGATAACGTGCTTATGACAATGAAGAACTGTAGGACAACTTGAAATCATAGCCAAAATACACAGATACAAATCGAAAAGCAGCATTTATCTTTGCCACAGTGCTGTACTCTATTGCTTATAAGCTGAGCTATGTATGCAGTTTCTGAAGTCTCTTTTGAGACTCCCATTCGAAAACCTATTGATTCAACTACATGTTCATATATGTGCTCAGGCATGCTGTGTGAGCAAAGGTACTATACTTTGGAAGTTGTATGTTATTTATCACACTTTCTCCTTGTCCTCTCAGCAATCATGTTTTTGCTTACGTTTTTTGTAATTGCAAGTATGTCAAGATCAGCCCATCAAACATGCACATGTGCACAAACATGCAGCATGCACATGCACACACCATTCAACTTCATATTTTAATTTGGGTGTAGAACATGTAGTCAAAGTGCCCTCTGGGCTGACCATATCAGGTCGTGACATTTGCATTTGACAGGAATCACATCAGACAGGGTTAATACTGGAGAAGATGGAGGGATAGAAAAAGAAAAAAAAATAGAGGAAAAGGTTTTCCCCATTCCCTTACCTCACTCCTTCCCTCCTTCAATCCCATAGCTGAGGTGCTTAAATTAAAAAGGAAGAAATGCAATTTAAAGACATGGGGTAAACAATCACAAAACACTTGTTTCTGGAGGAGACACAATTTCCTGGTGCCTTGTCCAATTTCTTATGGCCCGGAGGGCTGCCGCATGCGTTTTTAACACCTGGTTCTACACCGCTGATTAAAATTGTAATGCCAGTGTTGAATCAATCCATATGACATTTTGGAAATACACAAGTATCAGGACATTTTATATATACAGCATTTTTTTCTATTGTTTTCATTTGGAAACAGAAAGGTGCAAGGTGGTGACTCGCACTGGGTGTCACTACTTTGCCTTCCAACTGTTTGAAGAAAAAAAAGGAAGTTTCAATATCCTAAACAAATATAAATATGTCGCTATCATTGCTATACATAGTATTTACTCAAAAGCCACAAGTACTGTGTACTGCAAAACCTAAAATGGGACAATATATATTCGGTTAATATGTGGTTTTGTCAATAATACTGTGATGATTATTATTAAAAGGGGCCTGAGATTTTTTCCTTTAGGAAAAGTCAGAGGAGATTGTGGTGCATGTGAATTACGTCTATCATCTTGGATACCCACCAGCATCACCAATGTGCCTAAACTAAACACTAAAACCCAGATCCAAAACTAAAACAACCTCTTTCTCTTGGCCAAATGAAAACTGGTCATGGAGGACATTTGAAGACTGAATGTGTCTTGCTAAAACAAAAGAAAGTTGAGGCAGAGCATAAGAGAAAGACATCAGTGCAGACAGTCCGAAGACCAGGTGGAGGGCTGAAAGATAATTTAAGGGCATTAACTTAATCGAGAATGTCCAGATTTCTGTACCATTATTATATCAGTATAACCCCTCAGGCCAAACATCTGAGGCAGAGTGACAGACGGACTGTTGTTTGCTTCACACCACAGTAATGTTTTACCAGCCCCTGCGCCCATGTCAATCAATGGCCGGCATGTTCCAAAACATATTCAACACACAAAGAGAACACTTTGGCTTGAGGAAATGGATTGTGCACAAGATTGGCAGGGGACTCTCTGGATGTGTCAATCACCAAAGGCCCTTTGTTTTACCCCTGTCCCAAGCTTCAAGAACAAAGACATTTCCTTTTGTTTTATTTCTCTTTGTATTCAATATAAACACATGGATTTTCTGTTTTACATTTGGCTGCAGGAGAAAACACTTGTTTTAAGATGAAAAAGCTCAAACAAAAGTATAATACTGTGGATGTATCCCAGAGAGGGGATTTTGTCCAACAGGTAAAAGTGGAATTCATAATACTGAGCTCTGTGCAGCTTGCTTTTGTGAATGCGCTAATCTACATATTTCATGATATGCTGATGATGAGTGCGGGATGAGGGGTAGAGGTGGGTAGGCAGTCTGATTGTTAGCGTTTGAAACCACAATTTCACACAACGAACACTTGAAGTCGGAGAGAGCTGCCGGCCCCTTCTCTGGCATTGAATCTAAGCAGCTTCTCTGTTTTTTTTTTATATATCATCTCTCTCCTGTAGTCTCTTGTCCTTTCTTCCTGTCTGGCCTCTCCAGGTGCCACGCTATCTCACAGCTAGCACAGGAATCCATGAGCCGTGTACATCCACGGCCCTTTGAAAGAGGAAGCCACTTTGCCGCTCATCTTGGAAAGCACCTTCCATCGTCCTCTGTGTTCCTCAGGGAGATGAAGGGGGCTTCTGCTAGAGGAGCTGGGTTTTTGTAACCAAAGCCACATGCTGGGCAGGACAGCCAGTTGTAAGACAAGAAAGATCTTTGTGGCGAACACAAGTGCTTGGCTGTCCTCTTGCATGCCTGTCTGTCAACATCGCTTTGCCGGCTGGACACCTGTACAACTGTAATTTTACACAGGCAAAAAACAAAGACGTGCTACA